TTTAAACAACAGAATGCAAAACTGGTCTGATGAATGGAATTTGATACCTAAATTTCAGTCTGGCTTCCGAAAAAATAACTGCGCGGAACACATTTTTATACTTAATTCAATTATTTAAATCCATCTAAATAAAAATAGATCAAAGGTTTTCGTGCTATTCGTAAATTTTAAAATAGAATTAAATGTTGACATTTATTATTATAATTATAACCATATTAATATTACATGTTGACCTCATGATTTTTATTTTTTTTGCAATGGTAATGTTTTTAATTTCATAATTAATTAAGCATTTACATTATGTTCGCCGTTTTAGCCGCTTTCTCCCTAATGTCGTTACCTTCGTTTTCGTTTCGTATTCCCTAAAAGATTTAAAGTTCTATTGGAGATATGTCTTTTTCCGAATAGAAATGGATAATATGATTTGTTATAGAGACCGATTCTCCGACGTCGATTTTTTTTCTTTAGAAGACAATTTATCAGAGAAAACCCGAAACTCGAGATTATTGCGAAGAAAAGCACACGAGTGCCATGAGAAGAACTGAGAGAGAAGGCGCTTTAGAAAAGAAAAGGGTTAAGTCAGTTGAAGTTCCTGTCCTCGAGAGGTGTAAAATACAATCTTTGTCAAGGTTTTGAAATATAATTCGAAGAGAAAAGTCTCCATTTCATTTGATTACCGAATTTCCGTTCTTTCTTGTCGAAAGTTAAATTGCAGTTGTTCTTTTAACAAATGTTGGCCAAAGGTTATATTGACAAAAAGAAAATTGAATTTGTAAATTTTATTTCTTGATTTTAGTTTTACATTTAAAGAAATCTTTTTTTAAAAATCGATCTTTAATGTGATGTTTTTCAAATTATTACAAAATTTGTTAAAAACACACAAAAATTTTTTAATTTAAAAATATTAAAATAAAATTTTTCTTTCAAGTTTATTTTATTCTTGAATTGTTGATTCACTGGTAACCAACGTTTGATTTTATTCTGTAAGATAAAAATAAAATAAGAATAAATATAAAAGTTTCATTCTTGAATAGAGATTTTTAAATTTAAATGTTTTCAATTATATTAAATACAAGTTTGTTTCTTTTTTATATAAAGTATTATTTTTCTTTCGTAAGGTATATTTTTGAAAATCGTGAGTATTTATTGTCATGAAGCTATTGTTAAGGAAAAGCTTCTGCGTCGCGCGATCTCGAATACCTCAGTCAATTGTCGCCGTAATACTTTGGTCAAAGAATAAGCTGCGACGACTCGGTTCCAACCAACTGCGGACCTTTGTGGCTGAGATTTTCTTCTATTCCTTGGTTTTTTCATTTAAATTTTTTTTCGTTTTCTCCTCTCTCTCTTTCTTTCTTTCTTGTTATTTCTCTTTTTGCATATTATTCTTTCATTCTTTCCATTTTTTCAGAGTCTGTTCATTTGCACCTTATTCTTTATCGATCAGACCTTTTCCACATCCCTTGGGCATTATTTCTACTACGACACTTATTTTGCGCCATATTGCAGTTTTTAATAATTATTTAGGCAAATGATTAGCGAATATCGCATCTTTTAATATCAGAGTAAAAAAATAAACTTATTTTATGAACTATCTGAAATTAAACGTACCCTTACTTACTACAGATCACTTCTATAAAATAAGAAATCGGTGACGGCAGCACAGAGGAGGCCCAAAGATTTGTAATTAAAACGCATCACAACTATAATACTTTAAGGGGGGGAGTCTGGTCAAACGAAGGGTTTTTTCAAATGTATTTTTTCTTATGATATTCTATATTTTTAATAACTAAAATTTGTTTTACATAAAAGGGAGCATATTTAGAAGAAAATTGAAACAAGAAAGATTAATTCAAGTGTAAATGAGGCATTCCATTTCAAAACGACCCCCTTCACAAACAATTGCTATTGTAAGGCAATTTTTAAATAATTATTTCTCCTATTTATTAAAGCCAAACTTTATTTACTACTAGTGTTTTTAAAAGAAAAATTTCTCAACTTTACGATAATAAAAAATTTTTTAAAAAATAATATTATTTATGAAAAAAATTAAGTTTGAAAGATAACCTTTTGAATATCTCAAAAAACACGTAACCTCCGATTTTTTTAAACTTATGTCAAAATAAAGCTTAAATATTCTAGTTTTATTCCCTGTTAATATTATAATGGACAATTCAGGGGAATTTAAGAAATTAATTAAATTGTAAAATGTCATTATAATATTCACAGGGAATAAAACTAGAATACTTAAGCTTTATTTTATTTATTTATTTTTATTTGTAAAACTATCAAACCCACGGTTAGAAAACCATTAAAGGGTATTACATTGTAGTATATAAAGGAAATCGTAGAATTTAATTTATAAAATAGATAAACAAAAAATAAGGAGAAAGAACTATCTTTTAGATAGTATATATATAAAGTAGTCTTATGTCTTATTTTGACATAAGTTTAAAAAAAATCGGAGGTGACGTGTTTTGAGATATTGTATGTATCGATCAATTTTTTTCAAAATTTTTTGTAAGAAACTTGCACTAAATTAACAATTTTTAAAACTTGTCTGATTGTGGGCAAACGATGGGATCTATTTATTTTGCAATTTTTAATTTTTATATACACAGTGGAAACGGTAGGCCTAACTTGCCATTTGACCAAATCACAATTTTACACAGAAAGAAGGGTAAGTTTGTAGACACTCAGTTTGAAAACACATTTGCTGTTAATAACATGTAATTTGAATTCAGTAATTCCAGTCATCTGAGTGATAATTGTAAGAAGAATTAAGTTGTATCCGAAAGACTATGTACTTCGTGCTCGGTATTCACGATCGGTCTTTTGATTCCTAGTATCAAATTAGAGAACGGAACTGTCAATTTAGACCAATCAAAATTTACTATGTCACTAACCCAACCAAGCACGTTTGGCCTTTTTAGAGCACTCTGAGCGTGAACTTCGAAAACACTTTACAATTCCGGCTCATCCAAAGCGCCAAAATAACGCGTTAAAATACAAATATATTAATCACAATGACAATATTTACATCTATTACTATTAAAAAATATGAAAATTAACAATAAAAAAATCATAATTTTTATTTTATTTCTATTTTATTATTATGTAGGAAAAACCCCCTACAGTCACACATAGCTGAGCTCTGGATTTCCTCTGGTCAACGTTGTCTTCCGTCTGTATCTTTTTCCCCATTATTTTAATAATGAAGGATTCGATATGCCTCCAGGAGTCCACGTTATGAACAATGGGAGACACCATGTTATCGACGTTAATTTCAAAGTCAATTGCCGTAGACATGGCCATTCTATCATGGTTCCAGTGCCTGCAATGAAAGAGAGTATGCTCCGTGTCATCTACTGCATCATCACAGTAGGCGAATTTTGCTTCTCTCTTAATCTTCAACCTATGAAGGTACTGTCGGAAACATCCGTGACCTGACAACACTTGGGTCAGGTAGTAGTAAACTTTTCCATGCTTTCTTCCGAGGCAAGTGGCAAGGTTGAGGATCAGGCGATATGTCCACTTTCCTTGAGGATCCCCATCCCATCACTCTTGCCATCTTTCAACGAGTCTACATTTCGCCTCTTTTGTGGATAACCGCTTTGACGAGATTTCTACTTCGTTGTTCTTGCGAGGTAGCTAAATCTTTATTGAGCTGGAAGACCTCCCGCTATTCCCTTGTCAATAATGGCGACGTATGTGTGTGTAAACAATACATTATAATAAATATCTTGAGACTATGAAGACCTTTAACCGAGTGAAAATAATTCGTACGAAAACCGATTGAAATTTGTTTAGATTTCAGGTTAAATTCTTATATAAATTCGTTTGGCATGGCGTTTTGAAACACAATGTTCGTGCAAATCACTTACGAATTTTTAAAATAATTTTCTTTAGAAAATCCGTAATTAAATGATCCTGAAAAATTTTCGTAAAAAATCTTATAAATTCAGGAAGAATTTCTAAAAAGATTATTTAAAAATTCGTTAGTAATTTTCAAGAAAATTGTACCGAATTTGCATAAAAAATGATCAAATTTAAAAAGAAAAAATTTAGCAAAAATGATGTTCTTAATTCCTTTCAACAAACGTCCGGAATTCGTACAGTAAATTGATCCCGAAATCTGAAAAATTTTACTATTTATATTGAAGCAGAATTCCATACGAATTTCCATGTGGAATATTTTTTCTTAATTCTGTATCGACACAAACTTTTATAGAAAACTAGAATTCTAAAACATTTTGGAACAAATTCTAAATTTACTTACTTAATTATACTTAAAGTAATTAATTAAAAGCTTTAATTGTTTGACTATGGAAAAACGACGCATAATTAACGCTACTATCTTTGTATTTAAAATCATTAACTATCACATAGACAGTGAAAATTTACTAAAACTAATCAATTTCAGGATCCACCGTCAATCTTCCAGGGATGTTGCACCTTTTTATATAAACCGAAATGACTTGAATTTAATTAAAACGTCTCTGACATTTTTGTGTGCTACTATATAAATAAAATGTAAAATTCATTTCACTCGAATATGGACTTATTTGTAGCATCTCAAGCTAAACTTGTTGAATGTGTAAAAAAGTATTTTGTCAGTCTACGAGAGCACAATTGAGCTTCCGGATCAAAAGCTCGATTTGCGTCCGAGAAGGGAATTTTCACTTTAGCCAGGCCCCCATGAAAAAATTAAGGGAAATAAAATAAAAAATATTCAAATACGTACTTTTGTAGATAATCAAAATGCTCAACTCTTTTTTCTTAAAAGTATTTTTTGTATCTATATTTTAGATAATTTAAACCGTCCGAGCGGCAAATAAAGTTTTTTGATCCGGAAGCTGAATTGATTACGTCACTTATAAAAAGAGCCTTTTTAGATTTTATCTCTTGTTTACCTAAGAAGAGTTGATTAATCGTTCTTTTAACTCGTGTCGCATCGATGTTAAATACGAATATAAAATCAGCTTTTAACTTTTTTATTTCAGGAGTGGAATGATTACAAACTTAAGTGGAATCCGGACGACTATGGTGGGGTTGATACACTTCATGTACCAGCGGAACATATATGGTTGCCGGATATTGTTTTATATAACAAGTAAGTGGCATTTTTCCTTACGCCTTTTCTTTGCATCTAAGGCAAATATTCCTTAGGATTTTAATTAAAGCAGACTTAATTACGTATATAAAACCCAATGGATACTGTTTGGTCCAGGAATCGCAGAGCAGAGCTTTCATGGTGGGCTTGAACCAAATTTTAAAAAAAGTCTTGCGAAATGGTATTTTTTGTGGATTCCAACACTGGAGACCTCCCTGAGTATTTTGCAATAAAAATTAAAATAATCCATCGGGCCGTTTTTGAAAAAAGTAATTTTTAGTATTTCCACCGTGAACTCCAGATACAAGCACCTTAAAAAAGTTCCAAATGAAAGGGCCTAGCGGAGTAAGCATGCAAATATTTTTTCAAAAAATTTATTTTTGTAAGAGTTATAATCAAATTATAAAAATTTAACATTACATTCGTAATGAGTAACCCTCGAATGTAACCCTCGAATTTCAAGCAAATTTAAAAATAATCAGTTACTGGATACATTGTGCTTTAGCCGAAATGATGCGCAACCTAGGATTTTAATTTTTTTAACTGTGTGGTACCTAATTAAAATTCTAATTAAAATTAAAATTAAAATTAAAATTAAAATTAAAATTTTTGTTAAATTCCTCTTATTAATTTATAAAACACGTATAAACTTCATTAAAATCGATCCAGTGGTTTTCGAGAAAAAACAAATTTTTGATTTTCCTTTCCCTCTCCATAACTCTTACAAAAATACATTTTTTGAAAAAATATTTGGTGAAAAATTTTATCTTAATGCTGCCAACATGTAACAAGAATTTCAAATTTTTTTGAGCGGGGGCAGATTTTGCATGCTTACTCCGCTAGGCCCTTTAATTTCAACTTTCATGAGTGTATTTTGGATCGCAGAATCTGAATTGGATGTTGGATTTAAGAATTTCAAAATGGCGGATCCAATATGGCGACAACAAAGTTTAAAAATTGTTTAGATCCGCTTGAACCTCAATACTTGAGGGTTTTCGGGGTCACTAAATCTAAATCCAATGTTAGTTTTTGAAAATTAGAAATGGCGGATCCAATATGGCAACCAAAAAGTTTAAAAATTGTTTATATTCGCCTGAAACTCAATACTTGGGGGTTTTTGGCGTCGCTAAATCTGAATCCAATATCAGTTTTTGCAAATTAGAAATGGTGGATCCAATATGGTAAACAAAATTTTTAAAATGGTATATGTATTTATTGGTCTCCATTGTTGAAATATTTTTTAACCCTTGTGCGGGCAAGCTAAAAAAATTACGTAAGCGGGTAAATGAGATCCATTTTCCTCAGGCGCTTCCAAAAAAAATTGATTTGCGGTGTACACTCTAACTATCAACAGAATCTTCTAAAACAAAATAATCAAAGTACATTTGTTAAAGGAGATGTTTTTTGAGGTAACATCGAGAGTATTTTTTTTGTCTTTATTTTTCGACTTTCTGTAGCACTTGAATGCCAAAAAGTCGATTACGTTGCGAGTTAGAGTGTACACTGCAAATTAAGTTTTTTTGAGGAGCCTGAGAAAAATCTCATTATCTCGCTAAATTCTTAATATTTTTAAATTAAAATTTAGAGAAATGTTGTTTAAATGTTGCAATATTATATGCAAAACGATAATAGTATATTGTGCAACAAGTACAGAAAGAAGCTGTTTTCCGACGAGTGCAAAGTTTGCTGTCCCGAGCGAAGCGAGGGCAGCAATTTGCACGAACTCGGAAAATCTTCTTTCGTACGTGTTGCACACAGTACTTTGTGCAACACCTTTTGGTTTTGATAAAAAAAAGCTGTTTGGAAACGCTAGTTGATGCCAACATACGTACTGTTTAGCAGGGTTTGGAACGTATGTTATACCGCACGTAATATACGTGGTTTTCTACGCGTATATTACTGTAATAAACAGGTATTCTACAAATAGAAAACAAATACCTATATGTATATCACCAAAAAACCCAAAAGTTTAAGAACTTTGCCGCACAAGTGCAGCAAAGTAAGCACTTTGCCGCACTAGTGCAGCAAAATAAGCCCTTTTTCGCACTAGTGCAGCAAAGTAAGCTCTTTGCCGCACTAGTGCAGCAAAGTACTGTTTTGCGCCTACTTTACAGGCATGCAAAGTATTACTTTCCTTACAGGTGTTGCACAATAGTATATTGTGCAACAAGTACAGAAAGAAGCTGTTTTCCGACGAGTGCAAAGTTTGCTGTCCCGAGCGAAGCGAGGGCAGCAATTTGCACGAACTCGGAAAATCTTCTTTCGTACGTGTTGCACACAGTACTTTGTGCAACACCTTTTGGTTTTGATAAAAAAAAGCTGTTTGGAAACGCTAGTTGACGCCAACATACGTACTGTTTAGCAGGGTTTGGAACGTATGTTATACCGCACGTAATATACGTGGTTTTCTACGCGTATATTACTGTAATAAACAGGTATTCTACAAATAGAAAACAAATACCTATATGTATATCACCAAAAAACCCAAAAGTTTAAGAACTTTGCCGCACAAGTGCAGCAAAGTAAGCACTTTGCCGCACTAGTGCAGCAAAATAAGCCCTTTTTCGCACTAGTGCAGCAAAGTAAGCTCTTTGCCGCACTAGTGCAGCAAAGTACTGTTTTGCGCCTACTTTACAGGCATGCAAAGTATTACTTTCCTTACAGGTGTTGCACAAAATAAATTAACTTTCTGCGTATCGCCAAAAAAAAAATTCTAAAGAACATGCGTTATTTCACCGAATTAACTAGACCCCCCCTTAAGTCTGCATTAATTAACCCTCTGCCTACGCTGACTTATCCCCACTCTAGCGCTTTTGAATTAAATTCCCATAGTCCCCACCAGGCGACCGAATTGTCGTTTTTTGTCGATAACGGTCACTTGCGTAGGCAGAGGGTTAAAATCTGAAGAAACTAAGAGATGTAAGACATGCCTTAGATGCAAAGTCAATTATTTATTTCACAAAAACTAAGATTAAAATCTTTTTCAAAGCATTTTTTCACTAATGTCTTCTGACTGTAGAAGGCCATATTTCTGAAAGTTGTAGAACTAAAGCACTGTATTTTTTTATTTTTCAGAAAATTTTATTCACTTTTAGTTTTTTATAGATACTTTTGAGTTTGTATGAACTGATGTATAAACTGAATATTTAAAAAACTAAATTTCATATGAATTGTTCAGTTTTTTAGTAAGCTTGATCGGTTAATTTCAAACTAAAAAATTTGTAATATTTAATATTTGTAACAATGTTTTTATATTTAATACGTTCTGTTTTTAATTAAACTTTCACATAATAAAGTAACTTTAAGGTTTTGGTAATTTGTTCTAATAACAAACATAAAAATTAAAAGTCAACTTGGTTATGTCAAAAAGTTTTTAAATTGAAAATTCGCTGTTAATAATTTTTTTTTAAATTTAACAGGGACATGACGATTTGTGAGATATTTAAATTATTAAATTTATGTTTATCTCGATTTTAAAAAAATATATTTATCAACTTTTGAAAACTTGCTTCTTAAATATATATAGGGGAGACCGGGGCGTAATGGCTAACTTTTCACTCTTTGTTGTTTTACTCGGACATTTTTGTTCTAATTGAATGTTTATCTTCCAGAAAATTTACTCTGGTATCTCAGCTTTCTTTTAAGACTACAAACGTCCCGATATGACTCTTACTTTTTATTCTACAACAGTTTTTCTGGAGCAATGCAGAGCTCCAAAATACGGCCCGAGTCGGGGCGTAATGGATAACTCCCGGGGCGTAATGAATAATGATTGCTAATTATTATCTACAGTTTCCAATCTTATTGCATATTGTAAATTAAGGTTCCTGGGTATTCCGTGAATGCTATTTTTATTCAGCAATACTTCAACTATCGCTTTTTCAATAATATTCTGTGATATTGGCACTCTCTCAATTTTTTTTGTAATTTCTCATTAAAATCGTAGCTTGAAATCTACTATTTGTAAATTTTAGACCAAAGCTTTAAAATTTTGTTAAAAATACCTAAACATACTTAAACTAAGTGACAAGCAATCGCGAAAACAAACCTACACTTCGCCGATATGGTAGGTTGCTTTTTATACATAGCGTATTGCATTAGCCAACACGCCCCGGGAAAAACTAGCCATTACGCCCCGGGGGTACTCGGCAAATATTTGGCTTTTTTTTAACAATACCGGAAGTGTGAATCAAAAATCTCGAATTGTCCCTTAAAAACAAACGAGTCAAGATCGAAACCTCATTTCAGTTTTTTTTTAAAAGCTATTTTTGAAAAAAATAGAACGAAAAAACGAAAATTTTGAAAAGTTACTTTCGTATGTCAAAAATAGTTTTTCTACTATATTTCTTACAATAATGAATAAATGTGACGCGATCTGAAGAAAGGGACCTTAGAAGCAAAAAATTATAGGTTATGTTTGCAATTTTTTAATTGAAAATACAAAAAAAGGATCAACTGTCAATATAAATCATTGAAGTTTAAGTCTTTATTAAAACTAAAATATTTAATAAACACTGATTTTAATTCGAAATAAGTAAAAAGAAACTTTCAAACAAGAAAAAAGTAACTCTAACCCAACCTTAAAATGATTTGCTTCTAAGGTCCCTTTCTTCAGATCGCGTCACAAATATTAATGAAACTTCCGACAAACTTGCAGTATACCAAGTACAATAACTTGTCTATTGTGCGAAATTATTACAATTTACGGTTTTTAAACAAATTACAATTATTCATTACGCCCCTTAGCCATTACGCCCCGGTCTCCCCTAAGTGTACAGTCCTGAAAATTAAATTTTATTTATTGATTATAATAATTTTTTTTGTTATGTATGTTAAACTAATTTATTATCAAACTTCACAAAAACAAAGTCTATCAACGCTCATAAATAAAGGCGGTGCACCTAAAGGACTTGGGACCGCCCGCTCCACAATATTGTCTTAGAGAAAGTTGGAGTGGAAGAAGGAAAAATCCAAAAGGTGCCGATTTTACCAAATAATTT